ACCTTTATACTTTGTACTAATATTAGGTTTTTCTTTAATTTCAAAATTAATAGCAGTTTTAATTACATATTTCCATCGATCAGGTATGGCCTTAAGCAGGGGTTTATTTATGAATTTGAGTAGCAGGAGAAATTTGAAAGTAACAGGAGAGCAAATTGAAATAGGCCGGGGTATAGGGGGGGGCCGCCTAGGCCCCCATCGGGGTCCAGGGGCAAAGCCCTGGTCGGGGGTCAAGGGGGCGAAGCGCCATTGCGCTCCAGGGTATTAGAGTTTTTAAAGGCCATTTGATGGTATTTCTCTACATCATTTTTTTTTAAACAGTTTTTTCGAATCAACTATGAGCTGTAAAAAAAGTTGATATTTTTACATATACTGTATCTTCATACATAGGCCTAGGCTAAATGGATACTGTAAACCAGAAACTTTCGCGAATTGATAATTTCGGCCGTTTTCGCGACATTAAACTTTCGCGAATCTCAAAAAGCCTAAATTTAATTCATGAGAGGAATATCATACAATAGCTGAAAATATCGTATCGTGAGTTTAGGCCTAGGTTAGATAGGCCTACAGCCACTGTGTAGGCTATATCTAGGCCTTTGGCAGGCTTTGTAGGCCATATAAGCCTGCAGCCTACCTGAGTTGCTAGGACCAGGACTTAGCTGGCTATCCCAGGCACAGATAAGAAAGAGACAAGTTTACACACATACACTACTCACTCATATGATATTCCCTAATTTTGTATGGTATTCAAGCATCCTACAAAATGAACAATATTTATCAATGTTTTATTAACAAATTATTTTCCTGTAGGCCTAATATCGATTCAAACACATTGATTGGTGATGATTGAACATCGTGGTATGTCATATGGTACGGAAAATTAGTTTCCTCATTTGAACTTCTTAGTATACACTGCACAGTGGTTGCACATGTGCAATCACATGCAGTGATGATCACAACCTCATTAATTAGCATACTTACTGAGTAGGTTAGAATAGGCCTAGAATTTACGAATTTTTCGAGCTCAACATCGGAATTTAAGGTCAGAATATTGATTCAATAATTGAAATACATTCTTTTTTATGTTTATAAACATTTAATAAAATCCACCAAAATAAATTGAAAATACAATTTTTATAATGATGAAGTTGTTTACTTTTCACAAATATGTTGAAATTTGTGGGGATTCACCATTTAGGCCTATGCGTCCTAGATCTGCGTTGAAGAAAACATCTAAGGCATCTAAGGAGAGCAAAAAATAGTTCTAAAATTTACGCAGATATCGAAAAGGAATGGATACCACATTGGGAAAAAATGTCTCATGTGATGTCGTGAATTGAGACGATTTGGGCTTGCTTTGCCGTTTTAATCATTGTAGGCCTACTATCTTTAACTCTGAAATTGTGAGTGTAAACAGCATTCAATATAGTTGGTTCGCCTTGCTACCTCCGCCACCGAGTGTAAGGCCCCATAAAAAAAAATTATTAGTTTATCATCCTATCAAGACCAAAAAACTGATGAGGGAGGGAGGTTTTTTTTTGTTTGTTTTTTTTTGTTTTTTTTGTTTGGGGGGGGGGGGTGTGAAGTGTCCCATCGCTGTTCGCCAGTGTGAT